TGCCAGTGGCTGGTATGTCCTCCCATCCCATTCAGTTCTTTACACAGTAGTGTGTTCTGTGTGCCAGAAAAACCCTTGTCTCGTACATTTAGTAGAAAAGTACTTCTGTAATGGGACTCTTTGAAGTCATGGTTCCATCATTTTCTATTTTTTCCTGTAAGTCATACAATGTTCCATTAACTACGGCTAAAGAAGGAAAGGTTGGTAATAGCATAAGGCAAAGAAAGATTCTGCCTTTACTTGCCGAATCCTCCAGGAGTGGTACACAAAGAATTATCTGCCTTTTGGGGAGGGGTCCTGTTGAGACAAAGTTGCTTCTTAAATGAGGAGACTTTTGGAGGCATGGTGCTTCAGACATATCAGCATGGAGAACAGACGAGAGATTTTATCCCCTCCCCTCCGCCCCGTCTGGACAGCACATTTCTACAGAGCGCCCTTCTTCTCAGAGCTTGTAAGTGCCCAAAGGAGACATTCCACTACCAACCCCCAGGAGCATCATTGTTCCAGGGAGGAGCAAAACTAAGTTAATATTTCCGTTATAGGCACTCCAAAAAGTATTAGTTATTTTTGTTATATTATAAAAGTAGGGGGAATTTTTACTTGCTTCTTACTGAAAACCTGTTTTCTTTAGACCCTTCACACTTGGCAAAATAAACTCCTCTTGCCATAGAGTAAGCATGTCAGATTTTCAGCTTCTTGATTAAACAGATGTGATTAGGCTAAGTACAGGGTTTATAATGAGAAGACTATTTGCAAGCCTACCTCTGGGGCACAGTCATGGCCCCATAATAATGGGATGCATTATGTGCTGACACACCTCTACACATTAATGCCCTGATCCGCACAGGAATCCACGCAGTTAGTCCCTTATGCCCAAATGGAATCTCACGGACCCCCATGGGAATCTGTCTAGATGGAAGACCCCACATGCAAGGACCTCTATGCAAGATCAGGTCCTAAATAACGATTCATTACTGTACTCATAAGCCCAATTGCTTTTTTACTTTGTTAAAATAGTTTGATCAATTAAGCTTTTTGTTCCACAAACATTGTTTCTCTTTATACCCTTGTATATGAATATGCTTATGCTTTGTAAGACTGAAATATATGTAATTGCTAAGTCATCCATTTCAATAATTCAAAATCATTTAGAAAGGAGGGTAGAGGGGAAGAGAAAAGGAGATTGCCTTAAACTGAAAAATGACAAGTTATGTTTTAATTAAAAAAAAAAATCACAAGCGCTTTAAGAATAAACACAATTTAGGGTGACAAATCAAATAATTTTTTCTATTGGATATTAAAGGTCTTAAAATATTTTGGTAGTCAATCTATCACAGTGATACACACAATAGCTATAAAAGTGAACTACAAATCTGCAGTCGCAGCGTGAAATGCATACTCAGTGACACATATGCTATTTTACCCATTAACTAGGATGCAGTTTCAGTTTACTTAATGTACTGTGCTTAAGCAAAGCATTCTGCCAGTAACTTAGAAATGGAAACATACAACTGATAATATCGGTCATGACCCCCGGGGCTTTGCAAGGTTTATGGGAGCAGTCATGCTTTAACCCTCCACTTGGCAGCCTGCTGGCAACAACCTACCTGGGAGCCATGAAGCCCAGCCCCACTATGAGGCTCCAACCCAGAAGGCCGATTGGCCCGCTGGCCCTAAGTCAGCAGCAGGAACAGGAAGCTGTCTGAACTGGATTCCCCTTTCTCTGGACTGTGTGCCTTCTGCGCCTACTACCCTGGCTTGATTTCCTGGCATCCTGACCCAGCTTGACTCTTGGTATCAGACTTGTGGTTCCTGCCTCTAACTCCCTGGTATCCTGACCCGACCTGACTTTAGTTCCTGCCTTATGGTTCTAACCTCCAGTTTGTCTCCTACCTCAGATCTTATGGTATCCTGACCCAGCTAACTCCTGTCTCACGACTGTGGACTCTGGCTCTGACTACTAGGTCTGGCTGCACATGACCTGGCTGTGACAATACCAAAGGAAAAGGGAGATAGTACACATCTGCCTCTCCAAATCCCTCAACCTTGGGGAATTTTATATTCCTGTTAGCAATATAACAGCAGACTCCTGTTTAATATATGAATTTAGTGAGTATCTGTCCTCGTTCTTTAATTAAAACTAATAAAAGTTTTATACCAAAAACAACAACAACAACAACAACAACAACA